TAGAACTAGTATAAGTTTAAATGTAAGAAAAGTCATAGCACACCATTCCCAATTGAGCATTGATATACATATTGTCTGGGTTTTCTCAAAGCTGCGGAACTAGTTATGCGCCGAAATTTCAATACAGAACTTTGGAGGCTGAGCATACACATGATAATTACTAATGTACTCAGTTGGCAATTTATTGTTAAAATAATTTTAGACAGTTTTTGATTCAATTGATCAATGTGGAGGCTGTAATGTATATTACATTATACAGAGGTGTTTCTGTTATTTAGCCTACCTTAAGTGATAAAAATGGGGTAGTGGGGGTGGCGGTGGTGATGGTGGTGGTGATTGTGGTGGTGTGTGTGTGCCCGGATACTGCTTTAGTAGCACCTGCTGAGACCTGAGACCTACTGAATTTGTATTGCAGTCCAAGGGAGAGCTACTATGATGGTTGACCAAAAGCTCAAAGTAAATTCAATATGTCTGCTGTTGTACTTACTGTTGTACTGTCTAGTCTGAACTGTAATCTTTCTCCATGAGCACTAACTTGTTAACAGCTTTCTCCCTGTGTGTGTGTGTGTGTGTGTGTGTGTGTGTGTGTGTGTGTAGGCGTGTGGCTGTTTGTAAACATCACAGAGATCAAAGAGTCTCTTAACAAGCTGGTTCGAACACCTGTGTCTAGCTGGAAGACACAGAGCTGACACAGATCTGGGTGTGATTTGGGCTCGGCGAGCCTCTCAAACGCCTGCTTTTTGTGAAAAAACGGTAACTCCTATCAGAACCATGAGGTGGGGGTGTCCAATTGGTTGAAAAAATGGTTGAAAAAGGCCTGCGTTTTTTTTGGAAATTGTAACAAACAGCACAAAACTGTAGAAAAAAATAAAAAATGTGAAAAACAGGAAAACATGTTAGTTGAAAACTAAATTGCCAAAAGCTAATGTGTTTTAAAATGTGAAGAATTAATGTTGATGAAAGATGAACTGCATCCTAAACAGTATACACTTTAACTGAAGATATCAATAAGCTAAATAAATGCATAATAACTGGAAGTGTTGTGAAAGGTTTAAAGTTCGGACAAAGTCTGTAGCTGAAAATATGCTTAAGTAGTTGAATTTCAAAGACGTTGAAGTTTTGAAGCATTTGAACATTATAGGATACATCTCTTGAAGAAGTTGAACATTTTGACAGTTGAACAGTTTATGTAGCACAAAGTATGCAGGAGATTAAATTCAATATGTCTGCTGCTGTATTTACTGTTGTTCTCTCTAGTCTGAACTGTCATCTCGCTCTATGAGTACTAACTTGTAAATAGCTTTCTGTGTGTGTGTGTGTGTGTGTGTGTGTGTGTGTGTGTGTGTGTGTGTGTGTGTGTGTATATACAGACAGACAGGCATGTGTGTCTACCTGTGTGTGTGTGTGTGTGTGTGTGTGTGTGTATGTGTGTGTGTGTGTGTGTGTGTGTGTGTGTGTGTGTGTGTGTGTGTGTCTATCCAGACAGACAGGCATGTGTGTCTACCTGTCTGTGTCTGTCTGCCTGTTTATCTGTCTATGTGCCTCTCTGCTTGTCTGTTAGAATAACAAACTGAAACTAGGAAATTCCAGGGAAATTTTGAGTGCCACAGGGGCTACTGCCGGGATGAGTACATGATTTATTTCCAGTGTTCAAAAGTCAGCCTGATCATATTCTGGTTTTGAGAAATGTCTTGATATAAAAGTCTCCATCCCTCCATCATGTATTATGTGGGAAAAATCTCATATTCTGTGTTGTTTTTTTAATAAAACAAGAGGCAACATGTCTTCAAACTGGCATTTTAAAGGGTTAAAATCCTGAAAACTAATAAAAATTTGGTAGGTTTGAGCAGAACTGAAGTGGTTTAAGAGATGTATGCAAAAAAAAAAAGCAGAAAAAAATATTGATATATGATGATTTTATAGCATTTTCTTTGTGTGTCCTTTTTTGGACGTGAGGAACCCCAGAGGGTACAAAATGTGTTACCAGTGTATAATAGACCTGTAACAGTAACTGACATTAGATTTTAAAAATATGTCAAAAAAGACACTTTCTTGCAGAAATCCATACCTTCAGCTGTAACACAGCCAAAATGATCAGCAAATCAAAAAAGAAAAGTGAAGAAAATGTCCAAAAAAGGACAGAGGGACCCCTGAGGGTTAATAAATCCCATGAACCGCTATTTAAATTACCACTATTATGTTTTTTTCGGTGCTAAATTTAACATTACTGGGGAGGAGAGCAACGCGACTAGAAGTGACAGCGAGAGAGGGCTAGTAGCTTCTCCTCTCCTCTGTCTCAGCGGAGACCGTCACAACTTCATTCACTCATTTAACAAAACAAAAAGAAAAGCAACAAAGGAAGCAGTAAATGGACTTACATATTTAAGACCTAACTAAATGTAATTTAAGACCTAACATGCGGCTAATGTAAAGCTAGCGGAGCTTGGAGAGTTGGTTATCTGGTTGCTAGGCACGCACACACGCACACAGGTCAGGAGCTGCCGTTGCCATGGCAATGTGAAAATCTGCCCAGAATTTGGCTTCTACATGGCTTAAAACAATTGCAAATTATGAGAAAACCGTTACTTCTTTTCAAAAACCGAAAACACCGTGACAGACACTGAAGCCAGAAGTTTCTTACAGTCTCTATTTTATTCAGATATTCCTTAAAATGAGTGAGTAAGCTCAGTGCGAAGACAGAGTGAGATTCTTTTGAAAAAAAAAAAAAAGACGATTACATTAGGTGTCAATGAGAGTGAGCCAGGTATTGCTGCCGGACTCGGCATCCCCGTTTAAATTTTGTGCAGTCCCTGCCTGTCAAAGTTACATTTTATGAATCCCAACAACTATGTCTACATTTTGAGAAAGAATTATTTGTCTCCTTTTTATGGTTTGGCCGTGAGCTCGAGTTAAAAATAAAAATAAAGGTTATTTTTTACTGCTTCACGCACTCTAGCCAACTGACGCTGTCACTCTAACTTTGAAGAAAAAGTGATTTCCACTGCAAGTTTTCCTTCGTTTTATAGTTTGAATCACATTTCTACGTGCAAGTATGAGAGAGAAAAAAGGTGAAATTTTGTAGAAAAAAGGTGAAATTTTGTGGGTTTTTAAAGAAAATTCCAATGCATTCCTAATGCATTATTTATTCCCAGTATTTTGGGAATAACTTTGGGAAAAATTGGAATTTTAACACCAAAAGTCATAGAACTTCTTTCGGGATCAAGACGCACGTTTTAATGTATATATTACCGGGGTTTTCTCAAAGCTGCGGGACGAGTTACGCGCCAAAATTTGGCGGAAGAATAATAATAAGCCGGAAGGAATATTAATAGAGGCACTCCTCTCATCTATTCTAGCTGTAGAGTGCCTCGGAGCTGAGCACCCGTGGCACTAATTAACTGCCGAATGCTTCCTGATTAAAACTGGACTGTAAAACCAGTTGAGATGTTTGTAAATCATTGCAGAAATGTCAGTAAAGTCGTTGATAAACACAAGAGATATCAGAGGAGTCTCTAATCAGGTAATTTGACCCAATGTGTGCCCCCTCCCTCCACTTAAAGGTTGCCATGGTGACAATGTTGTCTTACTGGGTGCCCACCTGTCTTTTTCTTTGAAAAAGGTAGCACCTGGAAAACACTGGTTAAAGGTAATTGACCAATCACAATGAGCTCCAAAAGTAATCCACCAATTAGAATATATGTAATGTGGAGTCAAGCTGAAATTAACAGCTGAATGTTTCCTGAATTAGAACTTGTCTATCTGCCCATCTGTCTGTCTACCTGTCTACCTTTCTATTGTGTCCGTTTGTGTGTGTGTGTGTGTGTGTGTGTGTGTGTGTGTGTGTGTGTGTGTGTGTGTGTGTGTGTAAGAGAGAGAGAGGCTGGCTGTTGAAGACACAGAGCTCATACAAATCTATGGGAGGAAGGGGTCAGCAAACGTCTCAAACTTCTGCCAATGAATACAAAACGGTACATAATATCAGCAAAACTATCACATGGTCAGCGCCACAAGACACTCCTGAACACCTCCATGTGGTTTTGGTATTTCTAGAGCCAAAAATGTAGAAATAGGAGCGAGTAACAAAAAGGGGTCAGTTCTGGTTTTCTCCTGAAATCCACTCCTGAATTTGTATTGCAGTCTATGGGACAGTTGGAGGGTACTCCCATTAGTTTGAGGCTGACAGCTTAAATTCTGGTAGTCTCTGTGCTAAGGTAGTCACTTTATATGAAACAGGACAAATTTGTCTACTAATGAGGAAGAAATGATGTGTCAAGGTCAAAATATGAAAAGGTCGAGTTACACAGATTTTTTTCAGACAAATTTTAGAGCTTCTAGAACAACTAAAACTGTGATAATTCAAAAACTGTACAAGATATCAAAAAGTTGAAAACAAGTTTTATAGCTGAACGTCTTGTAAACATTTTAAAGTTTGAATGAATTCTGTAGCTGAAAGTATGCTGAAGTAGTTGAAGCTCAAAGAGGCTGAAGATTTGAACAGTCTCTCCATTCATTTGAATGGCAAAAAAATTGCAGAAAAATCTTAATATTTTCAAAAGTATAAATAATAGAAAAAATTTGTATACATCCGATAATCTACAGAACAAGCTGATTTTTTTGAAAAGTTGAATGGTTTCTGTCCTAAAAAGTATGAAAGAGTAGTTAGAGACCATGGAGAGGCAGTAGAAGTAATAATAATAATAATAAAGATTTGAATAACAATAGTGTGAATGCTGCAGCATACAGCACTCTAATAAGTATGCAGAAAAATATATGCATTCAATGCTATTGTATTGCAGTCACAATAATAAGTATGCAGAATAATAATATATGCCTTTAATGCTTTTGCATTGCAGGCACATAATAAGTATGCAGAATAATAATATATGCCTTCAATGCTATTGCATTGCAGGCACACAATTAAACATGAATACAGTAGAATAAAATAAAGCAATACACTGAATGTATTTATGTATGCAAGTATACATATGCCTAGTCCTTACCAGTTGTCATATTTGGGAAGCTTCTTGACCATCCCTTCCTTCTCCAGACCTGCCAGGATGTTGGCTGTTTCCTCTGGCGTTCCCGTGACCACATGTACACCAGCGGGCTTACACTCCTCCACGGCTCCCTTCACAAACTCAGTCACCGCTGGGGGCAGCGAGGGGATTGAGGCCAGTGACCGAATCCTGACACCTGCCCCAACACTACCCTGTCTGTAAAAGAAAGTAATCTGTTATTCTTTTGACTCATTATTGGAGATTAGAGGGGCTGAATGTACAGTACCCCTCTTCCATTGTGTGGAGTTCATTTGTGGGGTGGTTGTTAGTGCAACCTGAGACCCTCACCCTGACTTTTCCACATGCAGAGAGGCATGCAGGGGCTGGCCTATTGTTTGTTAGCAGCATGATATTCACAAATACAAACCACTGAGAGGGCTGCTGCTGTGCAAGCTGTTAAAACACAAGCATACTGTATGTGTGTGTGTCTCCAGCCTGTCACTAGCAATGGCCTAACAACGGAAAAAACAGAACAGTCTATGTTCTTAGTTTTTTTGTCTGTCTGTGTACAGTGTGGATTACTCAAGATGACCTCTTCAGAAAAATATAAAAGATGTATTCTTTATCCTCAAATGAGAAACAACTGCAAATACACATTTTAGCAAGACTGCTCTCAAACTAGTTTCAACCATAAATTGACCCACTTTCTCTCTCCAGTCAAAAATCAGTGGCTAATTTGACTGCAAATACAAATCACACTCTGCTTTGGCTGTTGTTTCAACAACAAGAATGCAGAGGTCCTGGGGTGCCCCGGTGGCTCACCTGGTAGACAGCCTATCATTTAGTTCTTATTGCAGAGGCCCAGTTCCAAGTCCAACTCGTAGCCCTTTGCCGCATGTCATCCCCTCTCACTCTCTCCCCAACTTTCATGTCTCTCATCACTGTCACTGTGATAAAGGCAAATTGCCCCCCCCCCAAAAAAAAATACTTTAAAAGCAATGCAGAAGTCCCATCAAGTGCCGGCACACACATCCCCATTAGCTGCACTGAGCGTGACATTATGTACATATATATATATATACACACGTACATACACATACATACTTCTATTCATGCATTCACACGTATCTGGTTGGCTCATACAAAGGGCACAAGCAGCAGGCATGCTCAAAGAAGAGAACATGTAACTAGACAGTGAGAGGGCAAAGAGCTGAGGACAGTTTAATGCCAGCAGAATAGGTGACCTGTGCCACACCAGGTGTGTAACCATTGATGTGGGAGTGATTAATCATGAACAGACTCCAGTTGTGCAACAAAAGCTGACTCAACACATAGTGACAGACAGACTGGGAGCTGAATTTGACATTATTTAATGTCTGTTGAATTTTGTAATCTTGGCAATAATTTGGATTTCCCTACCACAGTTTGTGGATGGCTGTAGCTTAGGTACCATGTTCACCATCAGAGTTTAGCATGTTAGCATCACTAATATTAAGCAGTGAACAAGTTGTGAAAAATTTGTTCTGCAGGTATTTGTACATAAAAAGAGGTACTGGACAAATTAAAATGTTGAATTGATTATGGTTCTAGATGAAGAGGGTCACCAAAGTTGTTACAGATAATCCTGAGGAAAATATGGAGGTCTGAACCTAATTCCATTCCAATCCATCCAATAGTTGCTGATATATTTTAATCAAAACAAATGTCAACCACATGATAGTACTAGAGAAATAGTCTCTGCACCCATTAACCATGCTCCATTGAAATATTTATCTTCTTTGTAAAAGAAACAGGACAGGTTTTCAGTTTTCAGGTCTTTAGACTTTTTCACTAAGATCTGAACAAATACATGAATAAATAGCTGAAGGGGAACTAAGGGAACAGTAGTGTTTCTGTATCACAGTTGCCCAGAATGACCTTTAGCCCCAAAAAATAAAAGGCAGTTTGTCTGATCTGGGATATTAAATGAACCAGTCTGCTTAAATTAGCTCTATGGTCTTTTAGTCTCTTTCTTCCTCACACTAAATCAATTACCTATGCTTGCAATCAACCACCCTGTTATGCCACTAATTACTATAACCATTTGGGTGGTGCTGAACATTACTTGTAGTGTGATTAGGATTAGGAAAGGAGATGAGCTAGATTGAATTTGAATGTTTTATTTAACAGAAGTTAACGGTTTGTTCATTTGCCGACTGAATCTCAGACAGTGGCTGAATTGAGACAGAAGATGAAGGGAGAAGCAGGAGAGTGGATCAGCCTCCATTCTTTCTGCTTTGCACTAAAAAAAGATGAATCTTTTAGAAATCCTGAGCAGACTCTGATGACCTTTGCTCCCAGTTTCCCTGCAGCCATTCATCCACTCATGCCTTTGTCTCTGCTTCCCCATTCCTCACCCCATCCCCCATACCTGATGAGCACAGGCATTCCTCAATTTGACAAATTTAACATAACCTTGCCTCTGTTGTTAAGGAGGTTAACTATGATCTAAGGAACATTATCCAGAACAGAACAGGGGGAATGTCAAGAAACAAATAAGCCTGATCTGGTATCCATACCCCTAACTGTCTATTGCCTCCAGTTGAACAAGTTTTCCTACAAACACACCTCCAAATCAGCAAGCCAATCCTCATACACCACAGGCAGACACGCCTACACTCCCCCTTAACCACCCTGATGGATCCTGGTCAATAGCCTCTCCTTAGGGCAGAGTCAACACATGGAGCACAGACTAGAACATGAACACGTGCTGCATATATTAGCCTCTCACACACAGTACGGTAAGTACACGGGGAAAAACACACGGAACATGCTCAGGGACATTCAGGCAAACAGAGGAGTGATGAGTCCAGTCATTAACAACCTCTCAAGCAGAAATACAAACAGTGCACAGGAGCAGGGGCCTCCTGACAGACACATGTCCTGCCATGGTGCCACTCTCATGCACTTTTAATGAGAAGATAAAAGCACATAGTGTGTGTCATCACAAAGGGGGGCTGGGGGAATGACTCCTCCTAAAAATCACCTACTACTTTGACATGTTTGATATATGGACGTTTACAGTACATGTCTATGCTCAGGGATCTGAGGTCTCTGACATCAAGTCTGACCAGTTTCTGCCTGCAAACAGCAGCAGCTGACAGACAATGAAGCATCTACAGTAACTCCTCAAAACAAAACTTCAAATGTCTGACTTTCATAATAATTTCATATTGGCTGAATGATGGAATGAATGCAGGCTACCTATCCTATGCAGTGCGTGTTTTCACTTTTGAGTTAACTAATGGTCAAAATGGATCTAATTGTGTGTATTAATCCCCCTGGGCCTGATAAACTGTTTCCTCTTCAGTGGTTAAAAAAAGAAAAAGATCGCAAAATGGTGTATATTAAACGGGCAGGGCACGAAGTTGTCCACAAAACATTTTCAAAAAAATTTCTAAAGACAGGCTACAGAATTGGCATTCATTCATATATAGCAAAAAACATTTAGCTGAAGCATAAACACCGTCTGGGCAGCTTAGTGTCATTGACTAGCCGTGTTAAATGAGGTTTAGTCAGCCTGAGCCCATGAAGCTAAAACACAATTTAAATTCAAGCGAGGACACAAAAAGCCACAGTTACTGACCTCCGGATGGCTCCAAATAAAAGACTCGACATCTTAGTTGCAGAGTAAAATTGTCTTATACAAACTAGCCGTGTAAAAGGCTAATGCAGGTGATGTGAGGAGGTGAAGTGAAGAGCCGTGTCAGAGCCGCTCACAGCTCATATCTGCGCTGAGACGAGACCTTGCACTTTGGTCACACCGAAACACCTGGATGCTGCTGACCACAGATAACAGAGTCCACTGCTTGTTCCTGCTTTCAAATGTCTCTAACATGCAGCCTAATTAGCAGTTTCTGTCCATAATGTTGCGTCCACTCCTTCAAACAACTGAGTGACCGGCTGATGCAAGTTTCACAGTCGCTGCAGAAAACCAGCGTGGAGACACAACCCGGAAACACGAGCACACTGATCAAACCGGGTGTCACATCAGCCCCTCCGAATACAGCTGGATGAGAACATGAAAAAATGCCATTTCTGTTAACTAATTTATACAACAATATAATAATTTATTTAACCTAAGTTTGGGTGTTTTAGGCCAATCTGAGATGACCCTGGTGACATCTTTAGAAATTTCCCACCAGAGCCACAAAAGACAGCTGTTTTCACAAGCTGAGCTGTGTTCCTCATGACAAATACACTAAACATAATTTATAAAAATCGGTTGTTTGGCCCTTTACTGTGCTGAAAAGTAAAGGGCTCTCTGCATTACCCTTAATTGTGTTTAATGTTGATTTGTCTTATGTATCATTTCACCAATTATAATCCTTCCTTTCTCGTGGATGTATTTATGTTACTGTATTTGACTTTATTATTTAATATTATTTTATTATTGTTTTCAATAAAGTTACCAAAACAAAGGTTTCAAGAGGCAGAGTGCAAGTGAAATGGCTTGGCTCCACTCAGTCTACTCTATATAACAACAAAAGGCAATATTCAAGAATCAAGACTTGAAAAAGCCAACAAAATATTTAATTAGAGACTGTCATAATTTTTGACTATTGGAGCTCAAATTTCCAACAGTTCCCTCTTTGGGTCGGGGTTAGCATTGGGTTTGGATTAAGGCGGAGCCTGCAGTGCTACCCACTGAGGGTTTATAGTTCTATTATTCCAGGAGAATATTGTTGTAATGATCACTTTTACAACACTGATAACTGATAAGCATTTTGCTTGAGTGAAATAGCTGGAGTTTCAGAGTTGAGCCAGAAGGAGGAGTCACCCTCTAAAAGTACAGAGCAATCAAGTCTGTCTGCATCTGTTTTTTAAATAGTGAATTTCCTGTTAATGTTTCCCTCTGGTAACTGGGGGAGGGGTCTCTTACACACACACACACACACACACACACACACACACACACATACACACACACACACACACACACACATACACACAGAGAGAGGGGAAGTAAAGGGGTGGGAGTTGGACAGGAGACTGTACTGTAGATAGGAGATAGTGAGAGATACAACAGTCCTACACTGCATGCTGGCTAAACTTAAGCCCTCCTATCTCATGGTCTCTGATAGTCAACCAAAGAGACTCTCAGTGCACATGGATAACACAGACACAGACACACACAGACACAGACACAGACACACACATACACACACACACACACACACACACACACACACACACACACACACACACACACACACACACACACACACACACACACACACTCTCTCTGAATGCCTACATGCTAAAAGGCCATGACTGCAGTCTATGGTTATGGAAGGTGACATTCAGAAATGCAGCAATATGCACAGAAGTAACAGAAGCCTGAATATTATTTGTCAATGAAAGATCACAATGGGTGATCACCCATCTGTTGCTATTTAAAGTCTCATCCTAAGTGTTTCCCCCTTTTTAAAGGCCAACAACCACAGTCTAAAGAAATCTAAATATAAACTGCAATACTGTGATGGTGAACATTGGCATGACTTCAGTGTTGTTGTGTGTGCTGACTGTAACCTGTAATGCATTAATGATCTCACTGATCTCATTGTTCAACTCATATGAATGTCAGAGAAAGAAAACATATTTCTGAAAAAAAAATCAACATCATTATTTTCCTTTTACAGTAATGATCTGTTGATCAATCAAGCCACTGAACTGTTAAATGCAAATTAGTTTAAAATTTTCAGTGAACAGACATCATCTTCAAATTTCAACTGTATGGTTTTGTTAGGGAGCTGGGAAGCATCGCCCTCACTTCACACAAGGTGAAAAAACACACACATACACATTGACTGTATAAAGTTGGACAAACAGACCAGTAAAGGAAGTATGTTGTGCACTCTCTCTTTGAGGTCTACTTCTGGGGGGGTGTTTTTCATGTAGTTTTTCAAGACTTCAGCCACAGGGCTTAGGCTGGACCAGGTCAGAGAGGACAGAGGGGAGGGTGTAGAGAGTTTTTGGTTTGGTTTGTTTGGTATTTGTCAAGTTTATTATGTATTCTATTTATCCTGTATTAGGCAATAGTCATTTGTATTGCATGTACTGTATGTAAATATTGATGTTATTATATTTGATATTGAGCTGGTAGAGACTCTACGCATATATACCAGGTGAGAAAGTAGCATTAGTGTCAGGGTCAGGTTCTCTGTGGTTGCTGTGCCTGCAAAGCTGCTTTTGTTGTATACCAGCCTGCTACATGTTTGTGATACTATTAACAATTTTTGTACCTTTTTGAAACCTTTTGTGGGCACAAGTAAAAAGAAAAGCTCTGGAAAAAAACTGCTTTTCTGATGCTGTTTGTTCCTCCACCACACTTTACACCTTAATCTGGCAGCATTCACACTGTTTGTAAGGGCTCACCATCATCAAAATCTACAGGTTCTATCTGATTATATTTGAATAGAACTATATCAGGTACACCAAAAAGCGTGCTAGGAGTATCATACAGTTAGAAACACAATGTAATGTGATAAATGACATTAATGATGTAAGCAACTGATATCTAAAAAAAGTCAGAGAGTTGCTTTCTGTAGTCATTTAACTCTCAGCAATAAATGTCAATGAAGCTTCCTTACTGTGTTTCGGAAAGTGAAACGACAGTAGAAGAACTGTGAGCCATGTTGAAATGATAGTGTCAAAATGTAAATGTCACTCTTTAAAACATCTAGACATGAAACTATACATATCAGCAGTGGTGGAAGAAGTTCTCAGATCCTTCACTCAAGTAAAAGACAAAATACCACAATGTACAATTACTCTATGGCAAGTAAAAGTCCTGCATTCAAAATTCTATTTCAGTCAAAGTAGATTATTGCCACCAGTGTGTACTTAAATTTTAAAAGTAACACAATTGTTTTCTTGCACACATCATAATAATTTGTGCACACAAGTTGTTGTCCATTTAGCAAGCAAAAAACAACCAAGATAATAATTCTGGGGGGCTTTAGAGGCTCTACTGTTTCACTACTGTACAATTCCAGCTTTATCATTTGATTTTTAGTACATGGTGACCACATGTAAATCCAGTAATAATAGCAGTGAAATAAAGAACTAATTATAGTACAATACAGTACTTTATGTTCCATCACTGCATATCAATGTGCATACTGTACTGTTGTTTTTCAGTTAATATGGTCAGCCTGTAACAGTGGAAGGTTGTGATCAAATCATTAGACCCACACATGGACCCAATGTACAATGACACAATTTACTTGTTCACAAATCCTGAAGGTATTTTCTCTCTATCTCCCTCCACCCCTCCCTCCCCCACTTTTCTTCAGATAGATGACCTTCGTCCTCAGTACTTCTCAACAAACTCCCTGAACCGAATAACACACAGCAGAGTTTTAATAACTCACTCAATCAAATCACAGAATCAATAACTAATCATGCTCATGCTGTAAACAAATCCGGCTTTTGCCCTTTAGGTCCAACCTCGAATGATACCGCATGCCTGACAAGTGATGTATTACTGTGGTGCTGAAGACTACGGATGTTCAGACATATGTTAATAGGCTTTATACAACAGGGTTTAAAAGGAAACAACTGCCTCTTCTGTCCACTCAGGATCCTGTATTTGTTTTAGGCTTTATCCTGGCTGTGTCCACACAGTTCCTGATCAAAGAGTCCACATGTCATCACATGTATGCTGACGTATGACAGCAGATCCCTGAAATACTGGGTGAAGGGCCTTAGTCCTTAGTTTTATAGTAAACAATAGTATGCTAAAGTTGTGCTGTTCTGATGTTGAGTGAGGACACCAGTGGAGATTTATCTTTATTTTGCTTTCACTAGGCTGTTTGGACTGTGTCTTTTTGTTATTTAAATGTGTGGGCAGAAAAAAGCTCTATCACCATTTTTAAAAATATTTTCAAATATTGTGTCATTTGTGTCATGAAGGAAAGTTGGTTCATACCCACTGCAATATAAATATGATTAAATGATTTTTCTTTAAAAACGCACACAAAAATCAAATGGCACATAACTTCACAGGTTTACTCAGGTGCTATTAATCATTGCCTACTGTACATCCTGTAGTTTGCCAGAGGACAGTTTCCTTCACTTAGAACAGCAGCGCTATCGGGTGGACACAGTCAGAACTTACAGAGGTACAGATGCTGTTATGTGATCACTTGCGGGATAAGACTGATTTTTCAAATTCTTACAAAATGTTAATTTATAATACAGTTGTGCTACTCAATCAAAATCAAGATATTCTTTTCATATACATTATTGCAATTGATGCTTTGAGGCTAGTCAGAATATTTCCCATCAGTGGCTCTTGCTACGGGAAATGAAAAAACAACTACAAGCCCCACAATACAACAGGATCCTTCGCTATTAGAGTGGGAAAGTACGGAACAGTTTGAAAATGCGCTTTACTTTCATTTTCGCTTTTGATGCTGAGTAACTGAGCAGTTTTTTCGTGTCGTGCTCGGCCTTGAATTCCAAAGATATATAGCTTGTTATTGTTTATCACTGCTAAAGTTAAGGGTAAAACGCTGTTATAAACTTTATACAACGATAAATTACTGTTCATGTACAGACACGAAATGGCTTCTCTGGATATTCACCTCGGATCGAAGAAACAGGTAAGGACCAGTGTCTGCTAGCATGATTTCCATTGAACATTTTAAAGCCATATTCCTTTCAAACACCTGGCAGTGACGCTAACAGGTGAGCTAGTGTCCAGGTAAGAGTGAGTTTGACAACCAGACAAACAGCAAAAATCCTACAGGTCGTTGTCAGGTGTGTAGCTGCTACACGGCCTGTGTAGTTGTGTGAACAAGACTTTCCAACTGGCGCTCATAAGAAATCATTTCATCTCTTCACTGCAGGTGGATGACTTCTGCCAGAAGCTCACCAAAGAGGTAATTTATCCAGTAGTTAAAAATATTTCACAAAATTAATCTTTTCACATTGATCCGAATTATGTTCCATAATAATAATAATTTTTTTTACAACAGGCAGAAGAACTGGTTTCAAAGTTTTTCCCTCAGAAAATGGAAGAGCTGCAGATGTTGCTGAAGGTATATCTGTGTTTTTATGAGGCAAAATGGGGACAAGGGTGTTGACGGGATCTTTTCAGGGTTAACTTGGGGTCCTGAGGCAAATTAAGAATGACCCTGTTATGATAAATCCTTCCCCTGCATCAGGACATTTATGACTTGTGTTTGCTGCCAGACATCTTTCAGCTGTGAGGACATGGCGTCCTTGAAGGCTCCACTGGACATCCCAATGCCTGACCCAGCTAAAGAGGAGGCCAATCGCAAGAAGAAGGAGGAGGTAGGTCCCACACTCACTAGGTTTTAGCCTGTTTTCTCTGAAATTGCTCCAGTATATTGGTTTGAAGAAGTCCAATTAAAGCACTGGAGTGTTATAACTTTTATTTGTTTCTTAGAGTCAGCATAATTAACTCCAGGGCTGTAATTTGTTTACAGTTAATTGCCAAATTAAGAAAACACCCCCAGAAATTTTAAGAGGTTGAATGGAAAATAAACACCAGTGCCAGGTTATGAAAATAAAATGTGTTTCATAAATGTTTTATTTCCCTAACCTTTGATTTTTTTCAGGATCACTGCATTAAGCCTCTCAACTGGGATTCTCAGCCATTGGTCTATATTTAGTATGCTATCAATCAGTCCCCAGTTACCATTGCCAACAATCACTGTGCAATTTGCAAAGGCTGTTTTACAGATTGGCAATGAGGGGGCCTTTTGAGTGATGTTTAAAAAAAGATCTGAATTGACATCTTCGTCTACTGTGAATTTTAAAATTTATTTGGCATTAAATGATATTAAAGTTATTTCTTTTTGTTGAACTTAATTGTAACTAGACTAGCACTGAAAGAACTGTGTAAGGAGCAGCAGCACCCTGTAGGTTCTTTATACAACACAGAATGATTTCCAGTGTCCTGGGTTTGGTGAGGGGGGAAATGGGTTAGAAGAATATCTGGGATCATGTAGCAACTCAGTGTGGATGGAGCAGGGACTGCTACAGCTGGGTTAGGTTTCTTATGCAAAGACAAAATCCAACTTTTTGACATCTTTATTGAGCCAGCCAAAGAAAATAAAACATGTGGGTGAACTGTCTAAGAGGCCGTGGAAACTTTTCTGTTCCTCTATTGCAGAAAGAGGCAAAGGAGGGAAAGAAAGACAAGGACAGCAATAAAGAGGAGGAAGATGCAGGTAAATGTGTAAAGTAATAAAGCAAACTACTGATTGAAGTGACTGAAATCATCCAGTGTGGTGGTTGTCAAACACTACGACACGTCACCTGTCACTTTCACAATGTCCTCCCAGTTGAAGTTGTGTGATGACAGTTTTCTGCAGAACCTGATCATTGTGAGATGAAGCTAATATGTTACACAAAGGTTGGTGTGGAAAAATTTTTATTGGTGGAAAAATGTGTTTTTCAAAGCATTATTTCATTAATCTATGATTGCACTATGCAAACAATTCTAATAATATATTGATTGTAGTTTTTTCTATATAATGAAGTTGTTCTGTATAATGTAGTTATTCCACAAACATGGTTTAAGTTTTTATAAAGACAGTCTGTGTAAATATCAATCTCAGGTCTTTTCAAGTTATTCCTTAACCATTAATATTGAAAAAAAATGATTCCTACTGTAACCAATGAGTTGTAAAAAATCCTAGAGAAGATTGTCTCAAATCGATTGTTGGAAGTCTTGATCAATGACAATATTTTTGAGAAATTTCAATCAGGTATCGACAGCAACACAGCACAGAGACTGCCATTATAAGAGTAGTCAATAGCGCCTTTTACGCAGCTTGTTAAACACGCGAATGTTGAGCCATTATGCCTTTTGACCTGTAACACAACATGCTATCTAAAATCACACTGGGATGGCAATATGTTATGAGTGGTCTTCTTAATAATGTTCTTAATGACAACATAGCAGGATTTATGTGTAAAAGGGGCTAAAAATATCTTGATGAAGGCTGATGCAGGTGAATGCTCGGTACTGGTTCTGCTTGGTCTTAGTACTATGTCTGACATTGTGGCTTATGGCATTATTATGGTTGAGAACATTGTTTGGTATCTCTGGAACTGTGGGGCTGGGACTGTAGTGGAAAAGAAATCCTCGTAGAAAGCAGTCCAGGTGAAGCACAACTGAACCAGAATTCTCATATTGTGACTAAGTGAAGCAATGTTTGGGGATGTTTTCTCCTCCAGGCCCTCCCTGTGGTCCCATTTGCATCAATGAGCGAGTGGAGAGTCTCCTGCAGGAGGTCAAGCCTCAGATCCAGACCCTGAAGGAGAAGCTCAACACGGTCAGTCAGCCTCTTGTCTCCTGGTTCATTTTATACAAAGAGGATCAATGTAAATGTGAGAGTTAGGAATCTGCCTTTCAGTGCATATGACTTTATGTCACATGCCATGTTTCATGTGAGAGTTTCATATATATTCACAGTTCTTCTCTGGCAGGTGTCGATGTGGGTGCAACTGCAAATCCCTAAGATAGAAGACGGTAACAACTTTGGAGTAGCCGTACAGGTCAGTAACTGCTGATGTCTTATCTTCTTAAAAAGCTGTTTTTACATTTCTCTAATTTATTGTTGATCTTCAAGGTGAATTTTAGCTTTGCTTTTGTCCAACAGGAGAAAGTGTTTGAGCTGCTGACCAACACACGCACCAAGATAGAGGGATTCCAAACTCAGATTTCAAAGTAAGCGCCCATACCAAAGCAGCTGCCCTCTCTTATCTACCCACACAGGTGTTGTCCATGTTTTGGCCAGTTAGAGCTCTTTCCAGGTTATGCTAGGAATTTGCTGAGGTCATCAGACACCACAGACCAGTGCACCAGTACACCATGCAGCAACCCCTTCACTTTAAAGTGAGAGTTTTGAAAGGAGAAATAACACAATATTCCTCTTAAAAAAAGAAAAGTTGAACTCACAGATGAACTGTAAATATTTAATATATCAATATATCATACTTAGGACTGTTGAAACTGAATGACAAGAAATTTCTCTTTCCTCTTGGTTTGTTAGATATTACAGTGAGAGAGGTGATGCTGTGGCCAAAGCCGCCAAACAAGCCCACGTGGTCAGTATCTCATGTTGTGTCTTGATCAGAGTACATTTTCATAGAATAAATTAAGATAAAATAAGTTGCGTGCCACTCGCAGACTGTGTGCAAAATAAAAGACACTATGTTCTACAACATAGTACATGGCCCATGTATGTTTTTGCCTGTAAACTCAGTGTTAATGTTTGTGTGCTTTGTGCTGCAGGGAGACTACAGACAGCTGGTCCATGAGCTGGACCAGTATCAGTACTGTGAGCTCCGCCTTGTGGTTTTGGACATCCGCAACACATATGTAAGATACACACATTTTGTTGTTTACTGTGAGGTCTCTGTGCTAACAATTTGTTTGTATACAGACATTTACAGAGAATCATCTGATAAAATAAATACACAGTTGTGTAAAATATGTCAAAACACAAGTGATAATGATAAGTATGATGTAGACTGATTTACTACATTTAGGTCTGCATACATTAAAATACTGCCACTGAAACCACCTATGTGGTAAACAGTGTATTTTGAATAAAACTACCTACACATCTGTAAAATATTCCACCTGCGTTCCTGCAGTAGACATGGTGGCTAAATGGAACCCATTTCTTCTTAATAAGGGGGCAATTAAACTAATTGCTGCACTTATGTTAAATTGATTGGTGCTCCATCTCCTTCCTCTGGCTATTGTCCTGCTGTGTTTGATACTGTTAATGAACAAGGTGGTACAGGTGGTGATGAAAGGATCTGTTTGACACCATTATACAGTAGTTCTGAATCTGGGTAATGCTCTTTTATTACTTTCTTTAAACCTCTCTGTCCCTATCAGTCACTCTGCCTTATATTTCACACTGCATTTCTGCTGTTGTCTGTTTCGGACGCACTCTTTATTTCTCCCTGTAGGCTGTGCTGTTTGACATCATCAACAAGAACTATGACAAGATTAAGAAGCCCAGAGGAGACGGGAAAGCCCTCATCTACTGAGGCACACTCCCAGGCTCTCAAACAAGATACAACTAGTCTAGTATGACACTCTCATCAAGTAACAATACACCCACTCTGACAAAAATGTCCTCTTTTTCTTATTGTGCATGCATTTTGTTTCAGATTGCAAAATAAAGCAACATAAGTCTGATAACTGCCTGAAGTAATTTTGTCCAAATGGGAATCTAAAATCTTTGTTTTTAACTGATGTTGACCTGTAATGAAAGAAACCTGCATATTCATATGATGGCAGATGGCAGATTCCGGATGTAGTCTTATACAGGGTGTTTACCAGTAATATTTTATCCAACTATATTCTCTTCACAGCCCTAATGTGAAAGATTCTTGACCTTTCAAAACATCCTGAGCTTTTAAGGTCAGACTGTCATCCCAAAACATCATCTACTCTGTTTAACACTATTGAGGCTGTTTGTCAGTGTCTGTTGAGGTAAAAAGTCTGTCTCCTGGCATACCAGGACAGCCCCAGCTCAGTTTGAGTCGAACCATCCCTGATAAAGTCCTTTCCAAACCAGGTAGCCCAGAGCTCCTCCCAGCTGCTGGTAGGGGAACTTGGGGAAGTGTGTGAGTAAACACAGGAGCAGGAACATCCACATAACAAGTAGAACTACACACAGGAGGAAGATGAATCTGAATGGGGCTCCTGGGAATCTCTGCAGGGGTTTTGCTTGGACAATGTGAGGGCCAAAGACAGACAATTCCTCCACCAGCAGCAGGCAACACGAGCAGAGGATGAGGATGTCCTCGGATACTTTGTAGGCTCTCCACACCATGTAGGCTTTGAGGCAGGAGGCCTTGGTCTGGTCTTCATGCAGGAGTAGCAGTGGCAGTCCTTGGGAGGCAAATCTCTGGGTGTCCTGTCTAACGGTCATTGGTTCATAACAGGTCCCTGCTGTATCCTCCAGCAGGGTCATTAGGCGCTGACACCCCCACCAGAGGCACCCCACGACTCCTGTCTGAGAGGTGGTGGAGGGACAGAGATAGGGGGTGATGGGCTGAGAGGGAGTAGAGGAAGATGAATGAACCTTTGAAGATCCAGGTCCAACCCCAAGTGGATTTTAGAAACTTACTGTGATGAAGAATTTAATCAGAAACTCAGTGTTAGAACACAACAGTCGCAATGTAACACATAATTATATTAATTACAGATTTTTGATCCCACCTAGTCATATCCATCGGGTCTTTCAGTATGTCGTATAAAGAATTAAACAGATGACAAACATCAAAGGAAGTGAATTCATTACCAGCTCAGACAGTGTTAGTGGTATTTTTTTCACCTTGTGAGTCTGTGTGTCGCTGTAAAATATGGAGACACCTACTGTAGCAGGAACTACCAATGAGGTGGTTTTGAGTATTTTGCCAGGTGTTCAAATGTCTCTGTCTGTCTATCTGTGGACAGATTTTGTCACCATGACAGCATCCCAGCCTGCAAGATACAGTCACAAAACTTTACAGGTGTGTAGTTGAGATCAAAATGAAGGCTGACTTTTAAGATGGGTGTGGTCTGTCCCATGAGTACTGAGTGGTCATTACTACATTATTACAAATAATGCCTCTGTGGTAGTTCCTGCTTATAGTAGGTGACTCCAGGACCAATTCTACCATAATGACACACATAACACACACAGACTGACAAGGTGAAAACAATACCAGACCCACTGTCTCAGCTGATAATAATGATAATGGTTGGCAAAGGATTTACATTAAAATGATCTTTGATCTTTCGTATTAATTACTTTTAGCCGTGATTGATCACTTATAAACTCTTTATTAGCAGGCAGTGATTTATATTTATATAGTCATGGTGTGACTGAGATCCAGAAGACATATCAGTGACTAATAAATACAAGAAAATCCTGCTTAACTATGTTTCGTAACAAAGTTTTAAATGTTACTGGTCTTAAATGCGGCAGGTGAGTTAATTACCTTAGGCTCACAGGTTTTTAAAAAGAGCTCACAACTGAAAATCATGCAGCCACTTATATTTCCAGCAAAGCAACCAATTAGGGACATGATATTTTCATTTAAAAGAGCTTTTACCTGTACAGGTAGTGGTGGCTGCAAAGATGCTGAACTTTGACACACAAAAACTCAGCACCGGCCCAAACAGAACCAAACCAGACAGCATCAGGTGGAAATTTGGGTGGCTTCCTAAAATTCTGGCCAGTAAATTTGTTACAAACTCCAGAACAGTATTCAAGACTCTGAGGACAAGCCTTCTTGGCAGTACCAGCTCTTCAGCCAGCCTGTGTTACTTCTCCAAGCTGACATCTGTTGTGAGGCCATTTTTAGTCTTTAAACCCATGTTCTTCTAGTCTGCTTGTCTTCTTAAGGTACCTTTTGTAATGCTGACAGCGTTGTCCTTTTCTCTTTGTGTTCAATCACAGCCAAGGGCTAAAGTCTGCCTCACTTTCTGTTGTGTGTGAAAGGCACACTAGCCCTTCTCTCGGACCTTTCTACTTTATCACTGTCAGGCACGCAGGAGAGCACGTGTTTTACAAAAATACAACCCCTCTGTCCCCTTTACCCACCAAAGCCCTCCCCCTCCCCAGCACTGACTGAGAGTGGAGACATGGTAATGGCTGCTGCTGGAACTGACCCCATTCTCCTAAACAGTGATCAGACACCAGGCTTAAATATAGCTTTCTGTCTTTGGTTCGCCTTTCTTCCCTCTATTCTTAGAATCAGCTGCTGGAGCCAACTTTAATATTTAATAGTTAATTTAAGATATTAACTGCTGCCAGTCTACATTTGGTGCAATGGACAGCTGCTTTTCTCACAGCACTTTCAATCATGTTTATTCCCAGGCTGTCCTCAGGCCAGAACTTCTTAAATCTCTTTAACTCCCAGAGCCAAATGAAGTCAATTTAGCCTGTGCATGAGATTCATACTCAGTAAAACATACAGGTGCTACTTTTTCAAGCCAGGACATCCAGTCCCACTACTCCTTCTTCAGAGTTCAAATCCATACTGCAGAGGTACTGCTGGATGGACTGTTAATGTGTATTTGTCACCTTAAACTGACACATCTCAAAAGATGGACAAATACACTACACAGCTAGTGGCAGTAGTTTAAAAATAATTATTTCTGGATTCCTGTTGTCTTATCTCGAAATGTTAAATTCCAGGTCGAAGTACAATTTAAAACTTAAATAGCAACATGGCATTTTTGATTATTTTATGGATCCAGCTACATTTTGTAAAAATGAATACCAAATAACCAAACTCTTTCAGTGAAACTGTTACTCAGATTCAAATTATTACAAAAACTGCCAGTGAGTTTTTATAAGAATCAAATTTGTATTAAGTCAGAAAAGTAAGAGCAAATGAAACCAGAAATGGCAAAGAATCTCGGTCTAATTTTATAGTACTTATTGCATTGCTGTCAACTGAACGACCTGGAGGCAACTTGGTTTTGTTTCCTAAAGCAGCAAAATGTCAGTTTTCTGTTATGTAGTGTGAACACCACAATTTAGAATTTGCTCTCGTTGAAATGGGGCACCAGGCCTCTGGGAGGACAACAATGAATTACTTCATTGATAAATTTCTCATATCAGAAGCCATGACTTCTCGATTCAATGGATCTCTAGTCTCTACTTCAAAAGAACACAACTGGACAACAACTGGGTGTAAATAAAGTTCATTAACTAAACCTCTATCTACAGAGTAAATGCAACGTGTAATAATCATAAAGATGAAAATAACGATGAAATGAGCTGTGTGATGAGTTGGTAATGGTGGGAGACAATATGTTAGTGCATAGTGTGTAGCCAACACACTATGGCTATACAGCTAATGATGCTACGTCTACGAATGAGATTTGTCGATAAAATATTGCTATATTTCGTCATCAACCCAGTCATGAGCAGAAGGTCAAGACCGGCCTACTGTGAGTTGTGCTGTAGCTGGAGACCCTTGGCTGGAACCCAGGTGGCTCTGGTTGACATGGTAACCGTGGAGACACGGGATCTAGGTGGATTCTCCTGGAGGCCGTGTCCGGTTATCACAGTGAAGGATTCTGCCGGTGTCTCAGCTGTTCAGCTCTGGTGGAGTTTACCAGGAGACTTTCTGTCTCGGGCAGTCTTGATTTCTGGTAGGTTCATCTTCAGGCAGTCATGGGCAGATGTGTTATCTGCTGGCGTCTCTTGCGGGTTGGTGTGAAATAAACTCTAAGGCACTTCACTTTGGCTAAATAACTTTAGAGGAGACTGGCGTTGACCAAATGACTCTAGTCACCCACCCATGGTGGGCGGCCATCTGTCTCGTCCAGTTGGGTTGAAGAGATAGATAGAGAGAGAGAGAGCAAGAGAGAGCACAGGAAAAGAGCAAGAACGTGCAATGATAGCAAAAATAATAATAGTGATAGTAACGGCAGTAACAGCAGTAGTACTGTAATGGCAACTGTAGTGCTCCTACTGACAAAAATAGTAATGACAGCTAATAACATTAATAATATCATTATTAATTATAGTGAAATTTTAGTCCTGTTAGCGAGCTGTGCCTAAAGACAGCAGACATCGCTGAAGATGTAGTAAATATCACAGTCCTCTACAGTGAAGTTACAACAACAACACACCGAGCAAGGGAGAGAGAGAGAAGCTAGTGCTAACTGCTAAGCTAAAGTAACTAGCACATCTGAACAGCATGTAAGCAACTGCTGAGTTAGTGAAAGTCGCTAAAAGGAGCAGAGAGCTCTGGGTGCTGGAGCAGAACTAGTGTAAGTTTAAATATACAGCAGGTAGTTAGACTATGTGATAACGGCAAGAAAGAAAACAGCAATATTAACAGTGTTCAGACAGAGCAGCAATATTCTCTACCAGTAACAGAAACTGAGATGGTACGCCACACTGATGTCAGGCTCAGCACGTCAACACGTCAACACCTCAACGGCATCACCACTATTAGTGAAAAGACATCAGTAGATGTAAATCACTGTGTAAAAATGTTCTCAGATAAAAGGACAAAGTCAGTTAAAATGTTTCTTAGTAAACGTGTTACTGCGTTACATTTGAAAATGGGGAGAGAGGGGTTAAACATGTCATAGGGTGATAATAATAATATATGATAAAACTATAAAATGAATAATCTTTAGGTTACCAGATATATCAATTACCTGGTGAGAACAAGAACAAAATCAACCAATTCATAGCAGTTAGGCACTTTGGAGGCTGAGCATACACCTGATAATTATTAATATAGGCCTACTCATTTGGCAATTTATTATTAAAATAGTTTTAGACAGTTGTTGATTCAATTGATCACTGTGGAGGATGTAGTGTATATTACATTATACAGAGGTGTTTCTGTTATTTAGCCTACCTTAAGTGATAAAAATGGGGTAGTGGGGGTGGCAGTGGGGGTGGCAGTGGTGATGGCGGTGGTGTGTGTGTGCCCGGATACTGCTTTAGTAGCACCTGCTGAGACCTGAGACCTACTGAATTTGTATTGCAGTCCAAGGGAGAGCTACTATGATGGTTGACCAAAAGCTCAAAGTAAATTCAATATGTCTGCTGCTGCACTTACTGTTGTACTGTCCAGTCTGAACTGTAATCTTTCTCCATGAGCACTAACTTGTGAACAGCTTTCTCCCTGTGTGTATGTGTGTGTGTGTGTGTGTGTGTGTGTGTAGGTGTGTGGCTGTGTTTGTAAACATCACAGAGATCAAAGAGTCTCTTAACAAGCTGGTTCGAACACCTGTGTCTAGCTGGAAGACACAGAGCTGACACAGATCTGGGTGTGATTTGGGCTCGGCGAGCCTCTCAAACGCCTGCTTTTTGTGAAAAACGGTAACTTCTATCAGAACCATGAGTAGACCATGACGGGCACAAGACCTTCGTGCACTGCTTATCTGGCTTTGGTGTTTCTAGAGCCAAAAATGTGGACAAAGGAACAAGTTACAAAAAAATGTGTGGGAGAGGTGGCGGGTACTCCCATCGCTTTGAGGCTCATGTTCAAATTCTGTAAGTCTCTGTGCTAAGGTAGACACATTGTATGAAACAGGACAAATTTGTCTACTATACCGAGGAAGCCGTGATGTGTGAAGACTGAAATACTGTATGTAGCCATGAGGATGAGTAAAACAGAATTTTTTCAGAGTACACATTCTGTGTAATACAAACCCATTATAAAGTCTGAAACGGTCTAAAAATTAATGAACTGCAATTTTGTGTAAACTGTAATAGTTGTCAAATACCAATTCAACTGAAAAGAGTCTCAAGTCTTGTGACCCGTTTAATGTTCAAACATTTTTCTACGTTGAAGTATGACGCAGGAAAGTCAAAGCACACCATTCCCGATCGAGCCGAACACATTGATATATATATGTTGTCTGTGTTTTCTCAAAGCTGCGGGACTAGTTATGCGCCGAAATTTCGATACGGAAGAGGTATAAGACGAACTAGAAAATGCATTACCTAACGAAAATGCTGAATGAGATTGCTGAAGCAACGCTGAATAAGCTAAAGCAACTGCTGAAGCAATGCTGAAGTAGCTCAAGCAATTGCTGAAGTAATGCTAAAGTAGCTCAAGCAATGGCTGAAGACAAAAAGGCAAAATTGTAAGCTGGAGGACGAATGGTATGAAATGGTTGAAAAAGGCCTTAGTTGTTGTTGGTAAGTTTAATAAACAGTACAAAACTCTATGAAAATGTACAAAATGTACAAAACAGAAAAAAATTTAAGTTGAAAGCTAAATGGCCTAAATTGGCTGAAAAAAAAACCTGACAAAGATGAAATGTATAATCAAAACCTGAAATGTCACACCTGAGGGAGATTTCTGACACAATGCTAAAATAGTTGAGAAAGCAGGTCATATTAAGTTAAGTACAGTGCTTTGAAAAATTAGATGCCAAAATGTTAAACTGGAGGAGCTGAAGTCCATTAGCTGCAAAAGCTGAGAACTGAAACATGTTGAAATAGTTGAAAGCCAAATTATTAACTGGCAATGGTGGAAGTAGGAATAAAATGCCTTAAAAATGTGAAGAAGCAATGATGATGAAAGATGAACTGCATCCTAAACATTAGAAACTCTAATTTAAGATATCAATAAGCTGAATAATGGCTTAATAGCTGGAAGTGTTGTGAACACTTTAAAGTTTGAATGAAGCCTGTAGCTGAAAGTATGCTCAAGTACTTGAATTTCAAACACTTAGAACTTTTGAATGATTTGAAAATCACCTCCATTCACTTACACTGTAAACAAATTGCAGAAAAACTTCTTTAAAAGATGAATAATATCAAAAAGTTGAAGGTAAGGATACATCTCCTGAAGAAGCTGAACATTTTGATAGCTGAACAGTTTGGAAAGTAAACGGAGGACATGGAGTATACCACCAGTGGAGCAGGTTCAATTCAGTATGTCTGCTGCTGTATTTACTGTTGTTCTCCCTCTCTGACTACTAATTTGTAAACAGCTTTCTGTCTGTCTGTCTGTGTGTGTATGTGTG